TTTCTCATCAGTGGTAGAAAGCTGGTTGAAGGATCTCTTGTATCTAGGCATAGGCGAGGCCATTTATTTGTGTTGTGGAGTTGTCCTGCGTATGCTGGTGTCCAAGTCTACCTCACCTCATCTTTTAGCTGAAGTCGGCTCTCAGTCTGCTCGAGTCATAGCCAACAGTCTAGTCAGCCACATTTCGTGGCATCATGGAAACGATTCCTGGGTCCTGAGAGATGCAGTTCATGCATGCTGTTGAACATGAATGGTTGATTGGGGAGAAACGACTGTCAAAGCGTCAATTTCCAGGAGGACGGCGGTAGAGAATCCCGGGCGGGAAGGTTTCGTGGTTGTTTCCCCAGGCGCTCGGGTCGGAGCCGAAGGATGACATGACACAGATAGCTAGAAATATGAGAGCGCTGGTACCTCCAAAGGCTTTGATGGAGGAGGCTGGAGAAACCTGCGAAGGTTGTTGGCCAGCCACGGAATTCCTGTTTCGCTGACGAACAAGATCGAATCTATCTGTGAGGATATTTCTAATAGAGATCAGACCAAGCACACTGTTCCATCGGAATCTTAATCTTCCTCTGTCATGCCCACGCCTGACTGTGTGTATATGAACTGTTGTCCGCCTTACGCTCAAGCCCTTAAGGTTCGTACCGAATGCTGCCGTCTCATTAACTTCGTTCTTCAATAGAAAACTACCGGTGCCGCACGGAGAGTTGATCTCCGTGCGGCACAGCGGTTAGTCTAGGAAACGCAATAGAATAATTAAAAGACGTGGCTTTACTGTGTAGACGCAAACGCAATGCTTGGCTTGCCTAGGAGTTAATCGATGGAGCCTGTCGCCCAAGCCTGCCAAGGCGATTATCATGGGGAAGGTAGGACAGATGCTGGGAATAAGGGGTTTGTGTGTGTACCCTTACGACTCAGAGTCGGTGGCAATGGTGCATTTCTGAGGGGAGTTGACCGTCGTTACATACAGCTGCAGACGGGATTGCTTCAGTGTAGCGGCACGTTCGAGAGGCCAGTGAGAAGAATTTGATAGTTTATGTTTTGTTTCTCTCTGCGAGAAAGTCATCTCACATCTGTTGGTCTTTTCTTTGGCATTAATCGACATTCAAGCGGTCCATTGCTCGACCGACTTTGGCTGGCCCTTTGGATGGGCATGCATTTTGTGACGGATATGCCGGTACCTGCAGATGTTGCGTCGCCTCCTGCAGGAGACATGACTAGACTATGCTATTCGTGGCATTGATTATACGAGAAGCCTCACACCTATCTTAAAGGCATCTAAATAGGTAGATTTGATAGATCAGGAGAGTCCAGGTGAGCGCGACGCTGGGCGACGTGGCATAGAGGGTTCGAACCACCTGTTCAGGCTCCAGGACGGTTGACAGGTGACACGAGATGCAGAGATGCCCAGGCGACGGTGTTATTGTGAGGCCCATGTGGGGGGAGCGAAGATTGACACGTTGTACGGCCGAGCTGTGAATAGCATGGCAAATGCGATGGAGAATGGAGAGCCTCAGGGGGACAAATTTCTGTCGGCATCCCGTTCCAAGTATCCACCATTGTCTTTCATGACGGGCAGCTTCCATCCTAGTGCAGCTGATCGCTTTGGCCATTCTTTGTTCCCAGCCCTGGCCGCGATGAGGGGCTAGAAGAACGTGGGACTCTTAGTGTCTGAAAGAGGAAAAAATGACATGGATTGCTAAGCAAGCAACGACCCCAGCCCAGAGATTAATTCAGGCCCGAGGTCGTGGCGTTAAGAATCTGGGGTGCGAGAGCGGCCCACAGCATCCGGTCATTGATGCGCACAGGCGGAAAGTTGTTCAGTGTTCAGTGAGGTACATCGTTATTTGGCTTGACATACCTTCGAGGGATAGCGAGGCCAGGCGGCGGTATCATTAGCATCCTGTTGAATGGGAAACCAGAGTGGTAGAACGGCAGGTGTGCCTAGAAACCCTACAGTGGAATGAGATAATAAATTGGCCAGTGACATGGTCCTTGTCCAGTATCTCGGTCCGAAGCGTTTCGAGCAAGCCGATGTTTCGGGAGAGCAGGAATAATGTCGAGCCTACTATATAGTATGTATCGCATTTCAGTGGTAACGCCTAGCTTTATGGTGACTTGGTAGGCGGAGGGATGTGTAGCGTAATGCAATGTCGAATGTGTTGCGTTTCATTGGATGCTTTTGGGGAGAAAAGGTAATCGGTCTCCGGGAGTTGGAGTAAGACTATCAGCACGAGCGGGAGTGACGGGTAACGACGGGCGCGAGGACGAAAACGAGAGTCGAGGGGGCATGGCAGAGACAATTAGCATGCCTGGACTGTGAATCACCCCACCGCGTGATAAGATACGTTGGGAAGAAGGGGGAGGAGTTTTCGTGTGGATGTTTTGACCGCTGGTACACGTGGCTGACGTGAGAGGGAGAGAGAGAAGTTATGCAGAAGGATGCAGACCCGGGATCCGGAATTGTTTCTTGTGATGCAGCAGTATTCAAATCGGTCGACAACTGAAATGGAATTGTCGTTATCATTTGGTTGTGGGAGGCTGTATCATTGGTGGTATCGAGGAAAGCGCCACCAAGGCAAGAAAAACAGCCGCAGCAGGTCTGCAGTAAGCACTTTCCCTGAATTGCTGGAAACCCGAAAGAAAGGAAAGAGTGCTCAGTGCAGCAGTAGCCTATCCATAGGTATTGTCTGAGCCCCCCTCTACTGGCATCTTAGAAAATAGGGAACAAGGAGCATGGAGCAGGGAACAGGGGATGACGGGTGGCTATGTAGATCCTTAAGGGAAATGTTATGGAAGAGTACAAGATGCCACGCTAGACCGTCATCCCACGATTCTAAAGAGGGCCCGTCGCGTTAGCACCTGCTGGAGACAGCCTTCAGAGTTTCGCCAGTGCAAATGGCTGGACCCAATCCCCCTTCCCACGTTTGGTTCCTGAGAAAGGCCAGGCTTCTTTTCGACTGACCGCCCTGGGAAATTGGCCTGCCCCCCTAAGGTGCCTTACGCTTAAGCTTGTCCCTGTCTGCGGCTGGGCATGCTAAGATACCGGGCCTGGGTAGTATCCGCCCCGCTCCATGCCTGCGAGAGAGCTTGGGTCAGTTGACGAAGCCGAGATACGTCGCCCGTTAGTACCTCAACCACTATCAATGTCTCCCTCAATTCTCACCAATGTTTGGATCGAGTCCATGGCTTCGCTATTAGTGCAATTTGTAAGACCTCTGCGAAATGGGGGTACACGCCCCCCTATTGTTTTTTATGCTCCCCCCCTAACAACAAAGACGAAGAAAGAAGTGGAAGTCACTCCGGGCTAAAATGGCGGAAAGGAGGAGTCTACGACATTAGGTATAGGCAAGGGAAAAAAACAACAATAACAATACAACAGTTTTGGGGATTCGCAAATGAAGGGAAGGTCAATGCTACGCCTGTATCCTGTCTCGTTGCCAAATCTTTGCCTCTGACGTTGAAGCGCAGTGGTGTGCGTCAAATCAACTCCCCTCAATCTCACTTTCGTGTCTCCCCTGGCCTGACCCAGAAACGGCCTGCCCAGCGACCAGCGACCAGGTACCACAAATTCCATATTGAGCTGCAGGACCTGCAGCCCTCTCTTTTCGGCACCAATCTTGCAGCGGCAGATACAGGAGACAAGCAGTTCGAATCCACACACACTCACACAAACTCGTACCAGCACCCACAACTCTCCTGCAACCCATCCCGAACCCACGTACGGGTACCCTGTCTTCACCGTCTCTGAGCGCCTTACAAGCATCTCTGCCGACTGACAGCGACGGCGACAACGCATCCACGACTACGGCACCACACACCACCGCCAGAGTAAACTTCGCATACACACCCAGGCCTCAACCAACTCATCCTACCCCTGGCACCCCGTTTGCCTCCAGATGTACGATCCTGCTCGGGCTTTTGCGCCTACTCCAGCTCCAACTCCATCTCCAGCTTCATGCCCTTGTCCTACAGCTTCTCGCCCGTTGTCGCCGCCGCTTGTGTTGCTTCTTGACGCTTGATATGGACGGCAATTGACTGAGCTACATTTTAGTTGTTCATCGAAGAATCAGAATATAGCACGGCTTGATTCGTAACTCACGGAGAGCTGCTACAAGCACGACTCACTCTTAATTGGTGGTTTCTCGAAAAAGGCAACTGAGAAGAAACTCAGGGGTACCATCCACCAACAACTCCAACTAGGTAGCCTGTAAAAGGTGTGCCGTGGGTATTTGCATTTTGCATTATTGTCACCAAACCTACGCCGGCCACACCACATACACCTCCGTTTATCAACATAGCCAACATCCCCGGCCTCACCCCGTCTATTGTCTGTCAGACAATCAAACTGCCTCTTGCTAGGCCAAAAAACCTAGCCATTCAATAGCCCTCGATTGCTCGTTACACACATACACACACCTATTTTCTACGGGCTCCTGTCTCAGTCAGGTCCAACTTCACACATTCTTCCCTCAAAGCAGGACGGTCCCTACCTCCCTTGTAGGACGCCCATTCATCTCATCTAATCCGCTTTGGCCAGACTCGATACAAGCTTTCTCTTCTCTTCTACCTCAACTCGCCTCGCTCTATCGATCCCTCTGCACCTGCAACCATTGACTGCAACTTGAGCTGTACCGAGCCCACGCACAAGCACCACATTGCTTCACGGCTAGCCGTCTGCTCAACATCACATTACATCACATCACATTGCCTCCCGGACAGGTAGACTGTGCGGCCTGTTGTGCAGGGAAGACGCCTGGCTCCAGGCCCCATCCGTACCGTCCGTCCATTTCCTGGGCCCTTACGTTCGCTCGCTCCCGAGAAAACAAAAATAAAATATACGCACACGCAAAAAAGAGGCCGGTGTAATATATGCAACGGCAGTCAGGGTCATCCAGGCATCTCGAAACCTCTGCAAGGTTGTCCTGCGTTAAGCTCTGACCCTGCACACCCCCCCAGTTGGGCCGCCGGCCAGTTGTCTACCCGTCGCATTGCCCACCATGTCGCAGCTTGCGCTCCAGACTCGGAGTGCCCAGGGCTCTACTTCAGATTTTGGTCCTCCTGCTGCTGATGCTGGTTTGACGGATGCTTCTGCGACGGCGACTGGCACTGGCGCCACTGGAACTCCATCTGGTACAGGCAATGCATCTGCTTCCGTTGCCGGTGCTCCTCCTCAAATTCTGCATACTCGCCTCCCTCCTCACCAAAAACGTCCTCTCCATCGGCTTCAAGTTGCAGGTGCCTCCCCCGACTCCTCCTCCTCCTCCTCCCAGGATAGCCCCACGACAGGCTTCTTGATCCCGGCTTCCGATCCTGCAGGCATTATTAGCATCAGCACCACTACAACCACTGCTGCCAGTCACTCTTACGGCACCACTATTGTGACAAGCCCTCTTCTTACTCCATCTCCAAGGTACGTCCCACTGCCTCCACTTCACTGCTTACCAAAGAAGATTTGGTCCACTCTTTGCGCTGCTCTGCTCTGCTCTTGTGTTCTTGTGTGTGCGCGTGGTTGGCTATCTGCTCTGCATTTGCGTCTGCATCTTGCTTTTTCTCACTGGTGCTTCTTCCCCTTGACCCTACCTTACCTTTTACAACCTTGAACTTCCCACGCCCGCCAGACAAAAAGTCCTGCGAGTCGCTCACCCACCCACCTTCACGGCCTTTTCCCCCAACCAGTGCCGGAACCAGAGCGAGAAGAGTCTCTGTTCCTGGGCCCCTGGCTTCCGAGGATATCGTGTGCTCGTCTTGGCAGCTACTCGACTACTTGACTCTTTGCTTTACGCCAACTTTGTTGTCTTCCTTGTCTGCCATACTTCGTGCCGTTATTTTGTGGGACCCAAAGTTCACGACGCTGGCCGGGGCAGCACAATAAACTGATACCCTCCTCGCCTTTTAGATCTCCTCGCCGCCTGATACCCAGCCCTCTTCACGAGAGTACCGCAGTCTCTTCGCCGACAAGCCCCTTTTCGGCGACGTCCTCTTCCTTCTTTTCTTCCTTGGACAGATTCCCACTGCCGCACTCCAAGACAATACCTGACATTATAACTACGCCAACCGACGATCTACGCTCGCCTGTCGACCTTCTAGGGGAACCGCAGACATATTATCAAAGTGACTCGTCCAGCTCTTCAACGTCCGAACATATTGCACAACGGTATGTGTGCAGTTTCGTTCTTTTCTTCTGACTCGACGCCCCATCTGGCCACACGTAGCGCAGCTGACAAACGAACACAGCAGACCGAGAATATCACCGCTCCCTTCGAATGATAATCGCAGCGCTTCCGAACCCGTCCTGATTTCGAGGCCTTCCACAGGCCCGCCCCGATCTCCAATGTCTACCTCCGGAGGCTCGGCCGCTGCCTCACGGGGCAACCCGAGCAAGGGTGCGCCACGAAATTCTTCAATGGACTCTGCTATCTCCGCCATTTCCACCAAATCTCAGTCCCTGAAAGGCGCTACCTCCAGCCAGTCTGATACCACAGATATCGCCGCGCTGATCAAGACGGCGGGGAGTCCGGAGGCAGTTATTCAGTATCTTTTGAAAGAAAAGCACTCCCAATCGCAACAAAATGCGCAGCTATGGCGTCTCGTCGACAAGCAAAGGGCTATGATTTTGGGCCTCAATAAGGACCTCGAGCGGGCGCTGAAAGACAAGGAAAAATACCGAAAGAAGTTGAAAGAGGTCGTTTCGGTCCCTGAAACGACGGGAGCTGACGGCTCTAAAACTGGTAGCAAAGTCATGAAAATGCCTGTGAGCAAAGGGATACCGACTGTCGACATCAGCGCGCCCAAAGAACGTCAGGTTGTGGCGCCAGACTCACCGACGTTGGATTCCGATAGTCAAAAACACTCACCTGTGGATATGGCAATGGCACCTTACCCGATCACTCCGCCAGCAGATCAGCCAAATGGGCCCCCGTCAGCAGTCGGGGAACTACTCGATCCATCACACGAAATGCCAAAAGCTCACGAGCACGCATATGATCGATTCAACCATGATGCAGAAGAGCAGGCTGCGGAAACAGTGCGGAGGGAACTTGAGGCAAACCAGCTGGTGGACCTCCCTCTAAACGCATCTCTCGCACCATCTCGAAGCCTACCGAGCCAGCCACCAAGCGCTCCTCCCCCGAGACCACCGAGAGCAGCCGATTCGACGACTGAAGAAGGGCTCTCACAGTTTCCTGTGCCACCCCCACGCAAGCCCCCGCCAGCTCCGTTGCAACTTCAGAACAAGATTCAACCTGGTGCGGAAGAGGAGGAGAGTGACACCGACTTTGACGACATTTTGGAGGTTGCCGAAATCGTCTCCGAGTCGCGCGGGCGACGAAGGACTCGTGAGGAAGATGACCGTGATAGGGAGGTCCTGGCCCAACAGGAGGCCGAGAGGAGAAGCCTATCCAAGAAGAGCAAATCACATAACCAGGCTGAGTCACCAACTGAGGCCATCCCCATGGCAGCCACGGAATTGCCCCCCAGTCCGCCAAAACGAATGCACCGAGAAAATGCCCCTGCTTCTCTGGCGAGCGTTCTCAGACCCGATGCCCTTGACGCTCCGCTTTTGAGTCCTGGACTGCCGTCCAGCCCGCGCCCGCTAGGTATACCGGTGGACAGCCCTGCGGCACCTTTGTCGCCGCGTCCCCCTCGCCAACCGATACCTCTCCCCCCCGGCCATTCTCTCCAAACGCCGGTACCCGCTGAACCCCTAGTCTTGACGAGCCCCCAACCACTCAACATCGTGAAGAAGAGTGGCGATTCGCATAGCGAAAAGAGCCGCATGAGTCCCACCGAGCGCGGCGACCCTAGCCGCATCTTTAAGGGCTTTGTAACCGAAGAGTACCCTGACTTGCTGCTCTCACCTAATGTTCTGCCAACGATCAGGGTCAAGGTTGCGTCTTCACGTATGAAACCGTCACGAGCAAGCTTGATTTCCTTGACGCAGCTGGAAGAAGATCCTGTTTTCACTCTAGCCATCTTTTCTCGATCTGATTCCGGAGAACTTTGGCGAGTCGAGAAGGATTCAGCCTCGCTTGCGAAGCTGGATCAAAGATTGAAGCAGTGTTCAGCTTTCACTGCGAAGACGCCAGAGAGATCTCTCTTCAGTGGGCATGCGCCTGCTAAGTTGGACGCACGACGAGTAGCATTGGACCAGTACTTGGAAGAGCTTTTGGAAACGCCCTTAGACACTGCAAGCGCCTTGGAGCTCTGCAAGTATCTTTCAACTCACACGCTGCCTCCTAATTCAGATGACGCTGGCTCCATGGAGACCATGGTTGAGGCTAAGGCCAAATCAGGACCCGGCGGTCGCCCTTACAGAACTGGATATCTCACCAAGCGAGGCAAGAACTTTGGGGGCTGGAAGGCGCGCTTCTTCATCCTTGATGGCCCTCATCTGAAATACTACGAGACGCCAGGCGGTGCTCACCTCGGTACAATCAAACTGCCCAGCGCACAAATCGGCAAGCAGTCACAGAACAACGAGAACCAGTCACCGCAGCAATCTACGACCTCGGACGACGCCGACAACCAATATCGGCACGCCTTCCTTATTCTAGAACCCAAGAAGAAAGACTCTAGCAGTCACGTCAAACACGTTCTCTGTGCTGAGAGTGACCGGGAAAGAGACCAGTGGGTCGATGCATTACTTCGGTGGATCGACTACAAGGACCCTGAAGAGGAGGGAAACCACGCCGCGAAGCAGCATGCACATGAACGCCAAGCTTCTGCCGCTGCCGAACGCGCCGATAAGAAGAAGCAGCGTTACAAGAAGACGGCTTCGCACCACCAACCAACCGAATCAGAGAGTCTCATAGGTGTTCGCTACGACTCCATGTCACAGGGTGATCTCCCCCAGCACGGAGCACCAGTACGGCCAAGAGGCCCCGGTCCAATTCCAGATAATGGCCATCACGCGGAAGCAATGACAATGTCCTCGCAGCCGTCGATGATGATTTCAGCGCCGAGAGATATGCAAGTCATTGCCGACTCGGCTCAATGGGGAAACAAACCAGGACTCGGTGTTCCTGTCAGCGAGGAGAAGAAATTGAAGAAACGCAGCTTCTTTGGATTTGGACCCAAGACAAGATCGTCGTCGGATGGTCAGGATTCCTTGTTTGGTGGAAGCGAAGGCGGATCATCAACCCCTCCTCAAGGCGGCTACGCAGGACCCATACGTCAGGCCTTTGGAGCCCCATTAGCAGAGGCGGTGCGCTACAACCACCCAACCGATGTAAATGTGCCACTTCCTGCTGTCGTTTACAGATGCATCCAATATTTGGATGCCAAGAATGCCATTCTCGAAGAGGGCATCTTCCGTCTGAGCGGCTCAAACGTCGTCATCAAGCAGCTCCGTGAGAGATTCAACACTGAGGGCGACGTTAATTTGGTTACGGACGAGACTTACTATGATATCCATGCTGTTGCTTCCTTGTTGAAGCTGTACCTACGCGAACTGCCAACGACCATACTTACTAGGGATCTTCATCTTGAGTTTTTGGCAGTCACTGAGATGTCCGGGCTGAAGGAGAAAATCCTCGCTCTCTCTGAGCTGGTTCTAAGGCTACCTCAAGCTAACGCCACGCTGTTGAAGTATCTTATTGCCTTCCTGATCAAGATTATCAATAACGCCGACATTAACAAAATGACGGTTCGCAATGTGGGCATCGTGTTCTCGCCAACATTGAACATACCGGCCCCTGTGTTTGCCATGCTCTTGCAGAATTATTCAGGGATTTTTGGCCTTGAGCCCGAAGAATATGAACTACCGTCGTCCTTCGACGGAGAATCGGGACGCGAGAGATCTGGCTCGTTGCCCAGCATGGCCAGTGGGCTCCCTAGCCGGCCCTCATTTGACCCGCAGCAGGCGCGACCCTCTACCTCTGCAGGATCAAGCCAGTCACCTCACCGGCAAAGACTCTTGGAGGCCATGACAGGCCAGCAACGATCTGGTGGCACCCCTCCTCCACTTCTTCAAGAACTGCACAGCGCTCGATCTTCGCCCACTCCACCACCGAATTATCCTGTTTCTCGTACCACAGCCTATGAGCCGCAGTACATGCCACAAGGGTACGAGACGAACGGTTACCATGGCGTAGCTCGGGGCTACGACAATGGATCTTCTGGTTATGACCAGCAACATAAACGTCGAGAAAGCGCCATCTTCATGGGCAACGTGATGGGCCTAAACCCTCAAAGCTCCAAGAGCCGACTACGAGAGGAGACTCGATTCTAGGCTTGCAATCATTCTCAACAATCTGCTCTGCCCTGCACCATTCTTCCACGACATACCCACTCGTTTATACGCAGCGTTGATACCATGCCTTGCATTTTCTCATTTCTAGTTTCGTTACATACCTGAACCCGCATGGGCGCGGACGACATAATGGCGCCAATATACCCGAACATACCACCCGATTTCGGACCGGCGCCGAGAGCACCACTACTTTCTAATATCGATCGCTACTTTCGGATGTGTAGCAGTTTTTTGTCACCTTTCTTTTTTCATGCAATTTAGCAACGAGCCTTAGTGTCGTACAGACCAGGCACTAATGGGGGAAGACAGGGCTTAACTGGGGACCAAGGTGCATGAGCGGATGACTTCACGGGACAAAATTGTATCATAAGGAGCCAGACGATTTAGTCTTGTTTCTGAAGGTAGTTGTCCGATCGGCAGATGTCTGTGGTTCATTGTGATCTTTCCGGGCTCTAGCATGGCGTTGAAGGTACTGAACTGGAGCCGACAGTTCATCTTGTGATTTTGGGTTTCGCTCGCGATTGGGAGCAGCACAGCACAGCATTTTTTTTTTTTTGGAAAGTCGGTTTAGTTTTGGAAAATATAAATCTATCAATTTTGATGAACAGCTTTATCATAAGTTGAATGTACATTTATTCGGTCTCCACGGACCATAATGTCATAGGCGCGCGCCGAAAGTGGATCGCTTAGCTCATGCCGGGTGCTGACTAATGATTATCAGTGCATCGGGAGTATCGGCACTCTGCATGCCGCGTCAACTCAGCGAATGTCGGCAAGTAGGATCGCCGCACTTCCGTCCCCCGATCATCCGATAGCTATTGCTTCAGCAATTTTGCCCAACCTGCGCCGCAACACGATGGATCACGGCGCGTCGGTTCTCGACCCTGCACTAAGAGGTGCTGAGTTGCCCAGCAACGGTCAGAGCGGCGTGAGTGGCACTGCCGCTGCCGCGACGCACGACAATGCAGCTGCAGCTGCTGCAACGGCACCTAGACGAAACGGCGCCGAGGAACAGGGACAGGGACATCTTGACGCCTCAGCCGCTGGGACGCCTGAGACCCCTCTTTCGGCGCATGGGGGCGGAAGTGGTGGCGGCGAGACACCCCAGAACGATGGACTTCTACACGGCGCAAACCTGGACGACCCTAAACGACCAAGGGCCTGCGAGGCTTGTCGCGGACTGAAGGTGCGGTGCGAGCCGGATCCGAACGATGCGGAGGGGCCGTGTAAGCGATGCAAAAAGGCAGGGCGCAATTGTGTCGTGACGATGCCGACGAGGAAAAGACAGAAGAAGACAGATAGTCGGGTTGCGGAGCTCGAGAAGAAGATTGATGCGCTCACGGCGAGTTTACAGGCGCGCGGGACATCGGCGACTGCGACAACGGCCGCCTCTGCCGCGACGCCTCCCGCGCCCGGGAGTGCAAGGGAAGAGACTCCTTTCCAGAAGAGGTGGGGGGACCACGGCATGGCTAGGGCTTGGCCTTCTCACGGGTCTGATATTGCACCTGGGACATCTGAAAGTGACGCAACGCCGTACGACCCGCTGGCACCCTCTACGTCAGGGCAGAAGAGAAAGTTCAGCGAAAGGGGGGATACACCTACTGAGATTCCGGAGCCGAGCAGGCCAGCTCCGCCAATACAGATGGGAGCTGATTACGCCGACGTCGTGGAGAGGGGAATCCTCAGCGCGGAGAAATCTTTGGAGCTGTTCGAGCGGTATAAGACGCACATGATGCCCCATATGCCGGCTGTGGTATTTCCACCAGGCACAAAGGGGGATGAGCTGCGGAAATCGAAACCGCTTTTATTTCTTGCCATCATGTCTGCGGCATCGTCCGAGAGCCCCAATGTGCAACGCCGTCTTGTGAAGGAGCTAATGCAGATATTCGCGGAGAAGATAATCATTACCGGAGAAAAGAGCCTGGAGATTGTACAGGCGCTGCAGGTTGCTGTGATTTGGTACTGGCCGCCGGAGCACTTTGAGGAACTCAAATTCTATCAGCTTGTTCACATCAGCGCGGTAATGGCGCTGGATATCGGACTTGGAAGGAGAACCGGGGGAAGAAAGGTACAGGTTCCGTACCAATTTAGAAATCACCCTTTCAAGAGAGCACCGCCGCCGGATCCGACAACCCTGGAGTGCCGGCGTGCGTGGCTGGCTTCGTATTTCCTCGCGGCCAATACGAGCATGGCTTTACACCGGCCGAATCTGGTGCGGTGGACTTCGTTTATGGCTGAATCGATGGAGGTGTTGCAGACTTCGGCGGACGCCGCCCCGACCGATAAGTACTTTTGTCACCTGGTTTGGACGCATCGGCTTGCAGAAGAGGTGGGTGTTCAGTTCGCGATGGACGACCCGGCCATTGTGCCGAGTATCACAGATTCGAGAACGCAGTATTCTCTCCGTATGCTTGAAAGGGATTTGGAAAAGTATAGCACCTCGGTGCCAAAAGATGAGATGGGACGTATGTTTCCACCTCCTCCCAATTTGGGAAACAATGGCTAACGCGAGACAGCAACTCTACGAATGTCATTCCACGTCCTCTCACTATACATGCACGAGATAGCGCTACATACACAGCTTGACGACATCCGCCCGCCGTTTGACACCGCCACCTTGAAAGACGGCATGCTTCCTAATCTTGCACTCACAACCTCACACGTCAACGCCCTCTCGGCGTGTCTCTCCGCTATAGACGGCATCTTTGAAGCTTTCCTTTCTATGAACGTTACCAGCATTCGCTGCTTACCGGTATTCAACTTCGTGCGCGTTGCCTACGCCGTCGTCGTGCTCATAAAAATGTATTTCTCCGCCACTGCCCCTGGCTCGGAGCTGGGCAAGGTCATCGACAAGGACAACATGAAGGTGGAATACTATCTCGATGCCTTGCTTGAGAAGTTCCGTGCCGCCGCGTCCGACGATAGAAGCCGGCCTGCTGCCAAATTTTTGGTGGTTCTGGTGATGTTACGCAGCTGGTTTTTGAAGCAGAGCAAGGCTGCCCTTGGAGGACCGCCTCCTGAAGGCGCTCTCAGGGGCGTCTCTGTACATTCTCGGGATTCGGCTCCCACTTCACGGTTGCCGGAAACCACAATCGCGGAGGGCCAAAGGCCGACATACCAACAACCCACGCCTACAATGCAAAGTTTCCCCGCGGCCAATACCCCCCTTCATCTCCTCTCAGAAATTGCCACTAATGACCGGTCCGCAAACCAGTCTACATCAAATATTCTCTGGAACCCGACGCCTTCCCGGCAGCAGTTCATATACGATCCATCCGTTGTCACAACCACGTCGCCGATGGACGGGGGACCGGACACGGGGAGCAGCGAGGCCGCGGGTATCGACACTAACAATATCAACAATAACAACAACAGCAACGCGAACAGCAGCACTGGCTGGATGCCACCCGTCTGGGCCGGCGATTTACAGGACATGGGCTTTGATATGGGCCTAGCCGACGGGTTATCGCTCGAGGAAATCACCACCGGGTTCGGAGCGAGCCCCGGAAGCCTGAGCAACGGAATGCGGTACGTCATGGCGCAGGACCCGTGGCTCAGCGGACTAGGCGGGCTCAATGACATGTTTGAGGGGATGCCAGGCGGTGGTGGGCCCCCAATGTTTCCTATGTGAGGGAAAGGGCAGCGGCCACCCGCCGTGTAGCCAGGCACACGAACAACTGTCTCGGAGCATTAGTTTGACGTTTGAACCTTGCTCCTCATCGACGAGTCGTCGGATTAATCATGCGGGATGTCGGAAATCGGCGCCTTTAACCCGCCGACCTTTATCGCTGCTGTTCGTTGCCGTCTAGCGTTCGAAAATGGGCTTTCCCAAGTGGGGAGCAACACGCCCAACAAGGATGATGCAAGTCCCTTTCGGAACCCATTCACGCCCGCCACCATTATCCACTTAAACACTACTTACTCTACTCAATTCCAATCACCACCTGCAACACAGATAGAGGCGGATCTGGAATGGGGGGGAGGAAAAGGCTATCTTTCTGACTTTGTTATTTCAAGCAATCATTTAGGCCGAGACACATGTTTGGGATACGAATCCCCGAAAAGGTAGACAGATGATGGACCTATGATGGCACAAGAAGAAATATTGTAGGTGCCTAGTTGTTGTTGCTTTTGGTCGGACGGGCCGGACAAAGGGGGGGCAAACCAGCGGCTCATTCTCAGCCAAAAACTGAAAAAAGAAAACGAGTCCGCAAAAAGTAATACTCTATCTCTCTCTCTCTCCCATCCATCTGCGGACGAGGGATGTTTAGGTACAGAGTTAGGCTGCTCGGAAAGCTTCATGTGGAGACGCGAAGGGGGAGGGGTGGAAGCTTGTATTGTTCTAGCTAGTCTGTTGAAATAATTACGTGATACCTAGGTTCTTGGTCAAACATACAAGATAAAGATGCAAAACAAGCAAATGCGAATGGATACTTATTTAGTATACATATATGCACAGGAAATCCTCCCGGATGTGACGGCGGGGGCCACAGATGTGATATCAGCGCTTGAGACCAACGAATGGGGAGAGGTACCAACCATCCGGTATGGGGGGTCCCAGTTATTATTAATCTTACATCTGGCCCATGAGGTCAGACAGCGGGCCTTGGAACGCTCGTTGACCTCTGGTTTTATCATACTTCGAGGGAGTGGTTCATCACCATATATACGTTGGGCGGCAGCTATGATCATATTTCATCATTAGGCACTTAGATAGGGACCACAGAACTTTTTCATTCGGGTCTGAGCGTGTTTCTCGATATAGCTAAGCTCGGCGTTCACTGCCGGCCGTTCGTCCGCCCATCGCCCGGGGTGTGTGCCCGCAACCTAGCCCTTCATTCCCGCCTGCCATGCTCTGAACTCTCTACCTGCATGGTCTCTTCACCAAACACTACTGTGCTTTGTCAATTTGTCCCCCATAATGCCGCTCTCCCAAGTAACCATGCTTCGCTGTGCAGCCGCCAGCGGTGTAACGATACAAAGTTCCCCTTTCCGTACGCCAGACATGAAACCATGCCAGTGGCGGCGCCATCAAATCCTTTCCTTGATGGGCCGCAAGCAAATAGCCGGGCATCTTTTTCCGGACCAGTTTTGATTTGGCAACCCGAAATCTTGCAATTTGCGATCGCCCTCCTCCAAATTCCCCATGCCGTGTGTGAACTCCTCATAAATTGCACTTCCATTCCGCTTCCGTTATGAAGTGTGAGACAACAGGTCTCATGTGCATGTGGTATGGTGCCGCCCCACCCTAATCGGGACTGCAACCGGGCTGTCACCAGAACTCAATGAACCAACTGAACGCCACGTGGAGTCAAGTCGACGGTGAACATTCCCCAGATAAAGAATAAACAAATAATAACGCTCGAGATTCATGGAAACGCTTGATGATATTTTTGTCCTTTTTCGTGCATGGTGGAAATGGTGGCGTATTAAGACGATGCCGTCCGGAGCCGGACGGGTTACGATGGTAATTGCGCATTTTGGTCGTAATAGCCTTATCCCGCCATCCTTCAGTCCATGTAAAAGTCACCCTTCAGGATACGTTCCTGGAAAGCATCTGGCTTTGGTCGCTCAGGAGCCTTGGGCTTCATGGCAGCAGCTTGGGCGGGCGGGGCAGGCATGTCGGAGACGGACTTAGTACGGTCGTGTACGGCACCGTTGCTCATGCCACGAGGAGGCGAGGATGAGAGGCCAGAGCCAAACGAGAATGAAGACCGTGAGCCCTGGACAGAGCTCTCGGCACGGGACCTAAGCTGCTCGGACCAATTGAAACCTTGGTCTGGAAGCGAGAACACGTCAGAAAATGATCTTTGCTTGTGTGCAATGCTTGCCTGGGGGGTGACACTGGAGCGGCGTCTAGCCGATGACAGCGTAGCAGCAATGGATGAGGTGCTGTTAGGTGAAATGGTATCTACAGGCAAACCTAAGCTCTGCGGAGAATGGACGTTGCTACGTCTGTCGGAGGGTGCAGGTGTAATGGGCAAGGCACAAGCAACAGAAGCGGGTGAATTGTTACCGTTTGATCCCGGACTTCCACCACCATTGCGCAGGGTGCGCATCGCCTGGGCTCCGAAGCTCATTCTGCGTGTGAAGGGGGTGGCGGGTGCGGTTCGGGCGTTGGGAGGGATTTCCTCCTCATCGACAGCATTCTCATCAATCGAGTCGTTGGAGTTGGTTGACAGGCTTCCCCGCCTCAGCGAGTTGAAAGCGTTGGAGCCAGTAGGGGAAGTGCCTGTCAGACCAAGGCCGGTGGAGACTGAGAGACGCCGTCTTTGGGCATCACTGGTGCCTGTGGGGAAAGCCGTACCGGTGGAGGTAGAGTTGCTTCTGAAGAGACCGGCGATGGCCTGCTGAGTGACGGAGCCGCGACGTTGGCGATGCATTTCGTTCTGGTTGTTGGTGTTGGTAGCGTTATTGGAGTTGTCGGTAGACATGATGGGCGAAAGGGAGATTGGGGGCGGAATCGGGAAATGTAATATGTAGTTTGGTTGTAGAGGCAAAGCCGTCTGGTCAAAGTGCAGTCCAGGTGGTGTTTCGGGAGTTGTGTTGCATGGGGTGAGATCTAGAAAGAATCGAAAGAGGGATCGAACGGGAAATCGTTCGACAGCTGCGGATGTGTGGAACAGGGTGGTTATATATCGAGGTGGCCGATGGACTGATTAGGGTGACACTAAGGGCGGGTTACGAAAGGTTGATCACAAGGAAGGCCAAGGATGGGACGAGCGTAGTGCGCCGTCGAAAAGTGTCGATCAAGGGGTTTGCTGGCAGCGTGGGCGTCCCGTGGTTGGAGTCAAGAAGACGGGTCCCTTTTGTACACCTCTCTTCTTTGTGCCAGCCTGGGTTTGTTTGTGCAGTGAGGGCTGAAGAGAAGGGGGGATCGACCGGGGGAAGCGTCTTATTGAGCGGTGTTCTTGCACAAACAGTAAGCAGGTGGAAGCTCTAATTAAGTGACGTCGAGCTTGTGAACAGAAACCAAAGAGGGCAAAGTGTAGGGGGCAGGGTCTGAGGGTTTGTGCGTACGTGTATCCTTACGGTTTGGGGCCCTGTGGAAGGAAGGGGGGGATGGCTGGTACTTTGCTGGGTTGGCTGAGATAGTGTGTGTTGGGAGATGGACTGGGCTTGCTTTCGGCTGTGTGGTGAGCCAGGACAGGCAAGTGATGATGGACAGTGGTGCGTGTGGGGGGAGGCAAATTGGGTGCGGTGTCGGTCGGCGTCTGTTTGAAGGCCCCGACAGGCCGTTTGTATCTGCAAAGAGCAAACAACCGACGTCAAACGGGGTACGTAGAGGGGGCTCAGGGTTGGGTCAAAGATTGGGCCTTGGATTGACAAGCAGGACAAGGGCTGATGACGAAGATGGCTAGGAGATGTCTAGATTGAGTGATTGATCGAGCGGCACAGCAACAATACTGCGTGTGGGTTGGGTGGGTTGTAAATGAAGTGCAGTCGTATGTATAGTGTCGGCCGTGGAGAAGAAAGGGTAGAAGTGGGCAAGGCCTAGTATGTTTAGGAGGGTGAATCAAAACAGAAAGCGGTCTCGCCGATGGCACTGGATGTCGTGGACTGGAATGTCAACGCCTTTGATGGAAAGGAAGGGACATACTTGAAGCCAGCCCCCAGGAAGCAAGCAATTGCGAGGACAGAAGACACAGCACATTGTCGAGGCAGCTACACTTGCACTTTCTCCTCTGTTCTTTCCCACTACGGGGGAGGTTCTTCCTGCATACACATGTACCTACAACTGCTCTTGATGATTACTGGGGGAGATGAGAGTGGAATGTACGGCACACACGAAAAAAGAGCACCGCACTGGAGGGTCGGCGCGGAGCCTACGGCTACGGCAGCGGCCACCCCCCCCCCCGGTCCCTGACGGCAAATAACTTGAAGGCCTCGTTATCCAATCATTGAACAATCTGGTGCAGCGTTGCTTTTAGCAAAGACACCTTGGCGGCAGTGCGTGGGATATACGTACTGGCTAGTGCTGCCTTAGTGCCCTCCAAGCGCATGCAGCCACTGGAAACCCGACTGTGAACCAGCCAGACCCCCGCTTGTCGACGTCACCAACCTGATTTGCTGATTTGCTGATTTGTGCGGGGTAGAATGAGCGACGTTTTGGAAGCCACCCACCTGCTGGCTGCACCCTTCTTCGTTAACCACAAACAACATTGGCTGCAGAAGGTCCCTTGGGAACCTGAAGCGACGAATTTTGAAGGAGAAAGGGATCATCATATTCCTTGCCTTCCTCTGCGTGTCTCCTCTGTGTCTTTCTTCCCTCAAGCCCTTTCCTTTCTTCTGGAACTTGGGCACACCAACACCTGTCGTATTCTCTCCTTGCCCTTGTGTTTCCTTCCCACCCCTCTTTCCTTCCTCTTCACTTGCCCCCCTTGCCCCTCCCCTTTACTTTCTCCTCCGCTATCTCGCTTCCAACGAATATCTCCTGTACGTACCGTACCTAGCTCCGTACTGCATCGAACCTGCACCTCAGAGACCGTATTAACGCCAATCCACCATATTTCACCACGCATACGGTTGCACTCAACGTACACCAAACTCAATGCAGCCTCCCATCTGAGCACTGCATGGCGAACAGGTATACGTCCCATCTCGTGTGCCATCGCATGGTCGTTCTTGCCACCTTGGACCACCATGGGCTCATCCGCAAGCACCATTATCTGCCCATGTTTTGGAAACCTCAAACATCCCGAACCTCAAAAAAGCAACCTTGATCTCAAGCCGGATGAAAGTCAGGCGCTAGACTCTTGTCACTGAGAGCTTTAATCCACTTCAACCAATACGAACACCCCGCTACTCATGCTCAAACGAAACCCTTTTCCTTCTCTTACTTTTCCACCCTTGGTCTGGCCTGGGACCCCCTTTTCACTGAGTTTGGCTGCTCTCCGATCCATCGACTTCTCCACAGCCTATTCCAAAACCCGTTTCCATTCATAACTGCTGGACATGTGGCGGTTCACCATGGATTGTCCTTTTCTGCCGCCCGCAAAGGACCGGTCAAGTCAAGACCGGTCACGCAGCGTGCATTATACCAGTACCATTGGTAACTAGCCGCCTTAGCTCTCAGGACTGGTGCCATCTTTAAGTGAAAGTCTTGTCTTGGCGTGCAGATGGCCCCTAGCCAGTGATGCTCCGGATAGATAAACCGTCCGTCAGCGACATCCACTCCGCTCCAATCGCCTCTTCGTTTCCAGGGCTAGGATGAACGTAAGGCGCCATGGAGGATCCAGCAGTGAGAGATTGGCGAACTCTCCCGTTATCTCTCAGCCGCTGGAGGACACGCATATACCTGGGCAGCAGCTGGAGGCTGCAGCCAACAAATGGCCTAAGCCCCATCCAGTCCCTTCATCAGTCCAAGGTAATATCTGCGCAGATTGAAGTCCAGCCGGTTATGTCAACGAGTCAATCGATATTCTGGTGCATGATGGGATACGGCTTTCTCTAGATGAAAATTCACGACTCGCCATAGTTTTCATGCTTCCCGGATACCACCTCGAAGACAGAAAGGTAAACTCTGATGTAGCGGCCGGTATATCCAACCCTACCTAACAGAGCGTCTTTGCTGCGAGTGCCACTCTTCCTTCACATCCATCCACCCATCCATCCACACACAAGCCAATCTGGACACATCCGAGTTTGCCAGGTTTTGACTTGGCCAGCCCTTACCTTTGTTTTCTTCCCCGGACTATCCACCTCTCTTCCTGACTCGTTACAAGGATCATCATCCATCACTATCCTCGATGCGTTCGACTTGTCGACTTCCCCGCAAATTCCGGGTCTCCATAATGGCTCCATCTCAGCACGGAGCCTTGGCCAGATGGGTTGCCGACCTGCCAGATTAGCCCTCCCGCTAGTTGCACAAACAACCATAGAGCCATTCCTTGGCCACGCAGTTGGCTTGCCTGGAATGACTGTTCGAGACTGCCCAGATATACTCGTCCCACATGGGCCATGTGCTTTACCGTGTCACGAGAAAGCTTAACACCAAGAGGCTTAGCCCATTAATGGCAACCATGTTGGTAAATGGCTATATTGTCATTTGTTATCCCAACACATAACACTTTGGGTTCCTCTCTCGGCATTGTTTGTTGTTGTTCTGCACTACTATCATGAGACACACGACTCAATCCTCCCGGAATTCCGGCTCCGCGCCGCGCTGCAGAGCTCTCAGTGGATCCCAGACTCAGAGCTGGTCAGCGACATGTGCAGACGTGGTCATGCGCTGTCTCTTCTCCAATCTTTTACCCCGCGCCCTTTGGAACCAGACCCGGAGGTGGTGGGCGAAGCATCATCACCTACCAATCTCACAGAGCATTCTTTCAATGAGCATGCGCGACCATGTCAGCACCCACAAAATCGTGACGGGGCAATTATTCCAAGAGAGTAGGGTCGATCAGTAACGTGCAAGCTAGCCAGCTATTTGGATGTAAGCATCAACAAGCATATTGAACTGATGCCCTGTAAGCTCACGTCGGTACTCGAGGGGGTGGTCGGGTCGCACCTTGCATCGTGAGTAACCAGTCCTGAAGAAGCCAAGCTCGAACAGTGACAAGGTCACAGCACATCCAAATGCCGGTCTTCCAAGCCAACTCTATTTCGATAAGGAACGAGCCAAACAGGAGCCATCACAATTCCATCTCGATCGTTACCGTTTTCATTTGCTAAGTGTTCAAACAACCAGTGGGAGGCTTAGATGCCCCATCCCTACTTCTACTCCATTCTTGTCAAGCTACCACCTTGGTCTACTCGTTTCGGCACCATTCGATTAGTGTCGAGCCAAGAGCACATTATGAACAGGAATCGCCAGTGGATCAACTGCATTTCCGCCTTTATCAGAAAAGCAAATACCTACATGTTAAATAAATAATAAAAAAAAGACACCATTTGATCATTTGATTGGTCCCTTTCTACCACTCAAAGGTCATGACATACCATACCTAGTTACACCAGTGACTTACTAGCCTAGTTGGAGATTGACGCTTGATTGGTGTCAGCTCATTTCTAGAGAATACGACGATCAATGATGTCAGTCGTGAACGGCTGCAACTTAGAGTGCACCGCGCAGTCCCCGAATAATTTGCAGTTTAGTCTTGAAGTCATGTAGACTTCCACCAAGATAATGAAAGACAATTAGGGTAATGAAGGCTACGAGCAAGACTCAAGGTTAGCACCAGGACAGCCGCCAAGGGTGACCAGTAAGCAGGTTGAGTACCACAGGCAGGTCCAGAAAGTGACGGCAGTACGTCGTAATACAGCCTGATCGGCAATACATTGCCCTCTGGTCCGGCTCTGAAGGACTCTTCATCCATAATTTAACAGTAGCTTATAGTGTTCTAGGGCGCAATGCAGGATCATTGAAAGCACTGCCGACACAATTGGTGCGGCGGTATCCCTTTCAACAATCCTCACCAAAGTATTGGATTTATCATTTGTCTATCGAATATGAAGTCGCCTTAAGTGGGCAATTCATGGATGAGTATATTTTTTTCTCCCACGTGAGAGCAGGTACGGAGAGAGGGCGTGTCACACATGTTAAGACAGAGCTTTCTACTAAACCTTCTTGCTCAACACCGACAGGAGGACCATTTACAAAAAATTATCCCATATTTAATGGCTGTTATCTCAACTAAATTTCAATCCTCCAAAGACATTTCACCGCAATGATGTCTCCGCTCCAGGGGCAACAATTGTTCTCGTTCAACCAGAAATCGGCGAAAAGGCAGCGCGTTTTAGACTGTTTAGCCGGTTTCGTTATTATATATCATTGGACGAAGGACAGGTAATAAGAAAAAGAGAAACGAAGAATTTCTTCTCTGGATAAACTCGGTTCATTACTCTCTCTGTTCCAATGATGCAGGAAACAACATGCTCCTGTGGCTACGATAGGGCTTTTTGAACAAATGATAACCTGTCTCTCTATGATCGCATATGATTTAGTTAGGAAACTTTGTAAGGAGAGGAGCTATAACTTTACTCGTTGGACTTCTCTATGGGAGGTGAATGCTAACGCAGATAGTCACCAAGCTGTGCTTTTTATACAAACTTTCAGTTTATAGCTGACTTCTTTGAGAGAGAATTGGCTGCCAGACACATGGAAAGTGGCTATTTAGAAAGTTCTAGGTTGCTTTCGCCTATGTTTTCAGTCGGTTTACCTGACTGCCCATAGCAAGGTAGTTATCGTTCTCTTTTTGAAGATATATGGCTTCGTCACCGAGACGTCAACTAAGAGATATTTTTGTGAGGAGTCTCTACCATAGCAGCATCACGCAGACAGCTGCTTCCCTCTTCAACTAACGGCTTTTGTTGACTTACACTGATGGATCTCACAAGCCATAATTAACCAGCAGTAATAAAGGTTACTATCATTGACCTTAACAACACGGCGCTGTAGCTATTCAGAGATTATCGAGGGCTCTGGAACCTCCAACACAGCACCAATACGAAAGACAGTTTTAGAGAAATTTGAGGTGTTTATTCCTTCTTCATGTCGTCTTCATTTTCAGATACAGTTTAAGACAGCGAGAAGGTTGACTAAAGATTGATTACAAACGTGTTCCGTTGGGAACAGTCGTTCGTAGATTCGAGAGATGCAGAGCGCGTATGCATATCCCTTTATTAGATATACCTTACCTCCAAATTCTTCTTTAGATATGCCTTTAGTGTCTACGCACTTATAACCAAGGCTATATGTATCATAAAATAGCATCATGTTGCCTGTATTCATGGCTTGAGCGAGCGGTTTTGGCGTTTCGCTCGCTGTTGTCAAAGTTTATAGAAAAGGTGAAGTGGTGGTACAAGCAAATCTTTGATCTTCTATTCATGAATGCTTCCATGTCTTTGGATGAAATATATTGAAAACACACTTGAAGTTACACTCATAAGACTTAATCAAGCCCTGTCCTCCACGTGAACAATTTATGTTTATTACCAAGCTGTATGATCTTGCCTAGTCGCTTCGAAGTTTCAGAAAGGCAGTTAGCAAGTGTTACGGGCTAGTGATTTCTTCATGTTTAGCACATGTTGAATGCCTTTGGTCGCTATCATCCCTGAATGAAAAGGTTAGTAAGCTGTACCACACTCAGAGATAAGCTTCATTTTTTTAAATAAATAAAAAAGTCAATAGAGCAAAGGCCTGAACCAGGATCACTAGTCGCCTATTTTGTGTAAGTTTAATTTCTAGATTTTAGGTAACAGTCTTTGATATCTTCCTAGTTTTATGCCAAAGGAATCAAGGAATCATACAATGTGCCGTGTATGTCACAACCTTCATACGTATGCCGTATAATGTAATTCAAAGAAAGATAAAGCACCAGGATTGCCAACAACCACAGATATAACAAGAGACTCTGAGAATGTATTCCGAGTTTCTAAGAATGGAAGACTAAGTTGGTGTAGCTCGGGATACTGATTTCTAATACATCCTAGGAAGAGTTCCTCTTCTATCTACCTACTAGTTCAAATCCTTCCCAAGAATCAAGCGCCGCCCATATCTCCTTCTTGTACTCCGGTACTCCACCAACGTAGTTGACCTGTTCAAAAGCTTTTCCAGGAACACTGCCACCCATGTAAGTTGACCGGGTGGTAGCGAAAAGTCTTTCTTTGCTCAGTTCGTTGATGTGTGCCTTCCACTTTCGAGTTGCTTCAAGTGTAGGGTTGATGTATTTGATGTCAAGATCACGCTCGATCTTTCGAATACACGCTCCAATCCAGCGGCCCTGAACCTCCATCGCGGTTGGCCCGTTGGCAACGGACGTGGGGCCATGGGCGCCGTAGATATGAAACATGTTTGGATACCCATGGATAGTCATTCCCAAGTATGTGTTTGCTGCTTTCTTCCATTCATCTTCAAGAGCAGTGCCATTAATGCTGCGAATTCCCATGTTTGTCAAGCCTCCGGTGGTGATATCCTACATTCTTTAGTTTTGCATATGAATTGAGAGTAATTTGAACTCACGAATCCTGTTGCTACTGCAACCACGTCCAGCTCATGGTGAGTGCCGTCTTGCAGAACAAGGCCCGTCTCTGTAAACTCAATGATTTGATTGTTGCTCACATCCACCACATCAACATTTTCCCTGTTGAATTGCTCGTAAAAGTTGTTTTCAAGAGATGGCCTCTTCATGCCGAAGTAGTACGGTGCCTCCAAGGGCGCAAGGATGTCCCGCTTCCGTGGGTCTTTTACTCTCGGCCTCACCTTTTGAACCCAAAAAGCATACGCTTCTTTGCTGGCTTCTGCGCTGCAGAACAGATCTTTGTATCCTCCCAACCAGAATTTGAGGCCTCCAGCTTCCCAAAGGGATTGGAAGAACCTCTTCCGTTCTTCGGGATTGTCATCAAACGTGCCGTGCTCTGTAGGCCCATAAAGCATGCCGCCAATGGTTGTCTCCCGGAGCTTGAAAAGATAGGGGTACATAGCCTTGGCCGATGCGTTTTGCTCTTCGGGTGCGAGGTCTCGTCTACGCATGGGGATAGCTGTGTTTGGGCTCCGTTGGAACACTGTTAGCGAGCGGGCATCTGGAGCCCACTCTTGGGCTATCTGGACGCCTGATGCCCCTGTGCCAATGACTGCACAGCGTTTGTCGCTTACTGTTATTTGATCTTGCCAGAACGAGGAGTGTTGAATTATACCCTTGAAGCTTTCGACGCCAGGCCAGTCAGGGAAGTATCGTTTTGAGGACTGTATCGATCAATGAGAAACAGCAGAAGTACGCGCACATTGACTCACAAATCCCGCTGCGATGACCAAGTATTTACACTTGGCTGTCCGCCCATCAGCAGTTTCAACATGCCACTTTCCCTCCTCCACATCAAACTCCGATCCTGTGACTACTGTCCCGAACGAGCAGTCCTTCCTGACATTCACAACTTTGTCGACGTGGTCAAAGTAAGCACGCAATTCCCCAATATCCGGGTAATTTGTGGTCCATGTCCAATCTTTCCATACTTCAGGCCATGAGAACTCGTATTCGATTACTTGCGAGTCTGTTCGGGCACCAGGGTAATTGTTCCAATGCCATGTTCCGCCAATGGAGGTGCCTGCTTCGTAGACGACCACGCGGAACCCTTGGTCGCGGAGAGTCTTGAGCATGAAGATGCCACCTATGTTCTCCCATTACCATGCTAAACAGATTGACTAGGGGATTTGCTCAATCGTACTAAAGCCGGCCCCGACTATCAGTGCATCGATGTCGAGATCATCGGCGTATGGGCCTGTTGTTTCTCGGCGGCGAAATGAGTAATCTTTGAGCTCTGTAGCATACCTCTTCCCATTGAGTGATGGTGCCATTATTAACAATGATCAGTGAATGATACTGAGGCAACCCTTTCCAAACCTTGCTGGAATGCCCGTGCCGTTTTCTCTCCCGTAGCATGCTGTTTGAAAGCATGAGGGAAGGAGCATCGATCTCAAGCAAGATTTGAGCGATCGCACCGGTGCAAAGAGGGGAAAGGAGAAACATAGTCTCACAGTTCAATGACGGCCCACCGTCATTGAAGCATACAAACGGGCCGCTAGAGAGATCATCCCAATCACCTTCTAATAACGATGCTCCATTATGAGACATTAGGACTGGTGGAGCCAAACATAGACACAATAAACTCGGTTGGCGCACAATAGTGAGTCAGTGACTCTTGATGATCAAGGCGGGCAACGCTTGCTCAATGCCCTCTATTTCTCATTGCCTTGAAGGGGGCTCAGCCATCATTCAATTCACTGTGCGTGGTCGACGGCCAAGGGATTCATAGTTTGTCATGCGGTGTGAAATTAGGTGATAGTAATACCCAATTTGGTGGGGAAAATAGTGTCTTGTAGAGGGTATGCTATTCTACACACGCTCTGCAAAGTGAGATTTGAGTACTGTCGTGATAAGCTTGGGTTACAACTACCGTGACAAACAGTTGCAACTGCTGAACTGAAGAGAGTCATGACACTGAGTCTTACACAAAAATCCCGCATTGATTTCCCAAGTTTCTAACGCCTCAAAGACACATCGGCGGTGGTGTGATCAATGAGCAATTTTTGTAAATGCTGAAAATAGCATCCTTGCGGCAAACGCGGCGGTTTCTATCTGTGGGTGGCAGGCCTCGCCGGCCCGTCACGTGGGCTGACGGCCGCCACCACTGGTCTTAGCCAGCCTCCACAGCCCTCTAGCCAGTTAGTTAGTTCTTCCAACCAACAACACCACTTTTCCCATTCTGAGCGTTCTGTGCTGGTTTCGCCCACACTATCTTTTGCATGTCTGTGTCACGTGTATCACCACACAATGTCCACGAATCCAAGTTTCACTACTTCAGATGATTTGGAGGAAACGTCGACTACCTAATTTGGGATCCCACAAAAAAGGGTCTGTTTACAGTGCCATGTTAAGGTGCTCCATCTTATGTTTCCAGACGCAAAGATGACTCGCTGATCATTAAGTCTTTGTACAACCAACATCGCCTATCTGCCTGCTCATCAGCTAACGTAGACTCGTTTCTTCTTTCTTAATGTGGTCATTTAAACTGTTTGACTTGTTTGTCTACCACGAGTTTGGTCTATTACTGCTATCATGGTTTAAGCCATAACAGAACTGAACCGTGGTTAAGCTTCGTCGACTCGGCTGATGCTTGGCTTTGCGAAACCATTTGTAAATAACGCTCCCAGTTATACGATATATTGCATGATGTATTGTTTTTTCGTGGCAAAAGTTAAGTTCGCGATTACAATGCGTGTAGAGACTTTCGAAAACTTCCGCGAGGACGACAGCATGTAGCGCGCGCGATGCCTTTGGCATTTCATGATTCATTGCATCTCCATATGCGGACAGACATGACCCAGGCGGCAGATCCAAGGGCACCCGCCGTATGTTAAGGCTGCTGCGGTTGGCTTGTTTGACAAGGAACACCTGAACTGCTTTCCTTGCAGCTAGGCCGAATTTCCGGCATCGCGTCAAGTCTAACGGGTGTTGCAGGGTTTACGAATAAGAGAGTTTCGTTTGATCTGCCTGCGGTCTCCTCGATTCAGTTGGTCACTCGGCAAGCTTACAATCACGTTGAGCAGAAAGTGTGCGGTAGGCGCAGGGCTGCAAAAAGCGGCTGAGCAATGGACGTGCGTCCTTGAGACTGGTTTGGTAAAGAAATTTTCGCCTGAGCCAGAATCCCGTTTTCGCGTCTTTGACTCGGAAGCTCAATCTCAGATGATGGGCATTAATATGTGTCAACTGTACAAGCAACATCAGGCCGCATCATTTAGACGGACGCGGAGGATTTCGCAGACCGAGCCTAAGCCTCTCAAGGACCTGAGAAGCAACGAACTGGCCACCTATTGTTTTCCGCCATGAATAACAAAGCCAAGGCTTTGGGATCAGCATTGATGAAGTGGGTGAGAGACCATGTGCCGATCGGCGAACCCCTTGACGGACGCGACACTGACAACTTGGCGATGCAATCCCTTGGCTAGAAATGATGGGATGATAACATCCTGCTGGATAAGGATGCTATATCCGAGGCCTACCTTCAGACGATTTTTCCGTTTGGCCAAGAGAAAGTCAAGTTGAATAGCCTCTTGCTATTTCTTAACTTTGTTCGAGCCCGGTTCAACCTTTTCTCAAATACGCTGTGGAATGAGCGTCCCGAGGTCTTAATCTTCAAAGCTCCAACACGGCCAAAACAGCTAGACGGAAAAGCTAACTAGTTCTGCTGTGTACGAAGTCTGTGGGTCTTCAGACCACGCTACTGCAGGAGAAAGTCTGAGACTGTCGAATTGGATTTCAGGAGTAATCAGTTAACCTTTCCTCCCCTTTTGCCGCGGGAGAAAGCATGGCGGACGGAGGCCGGCCGGACATCCAGAATTGTGGACATAACCACGAGAGCCCTGTTCGGTTGCTGCTCCCCTTAATTTTGCTGCTTATCCATTTGTCCAGAAACGGCATCTTTTGGCTGCCTTTCCGTCAGATTTTGGGCCAACCCCTGTTAGATAAGAAGTTCCTGAAAGGATTCGAGACTCGGCGAACTCTATTTGGAGGGTCAGTAAAGCTATTGAACGGCGTCACCTTCGCAACATGTTTCCCACGGCCTTATTGGCCATACACGAACTCTGCTGTGTACGGTTCCCACGTGTAGAGAAAGATTTATATGTCACTGTCATTGAGGCATGAGATGCCACTAAGAAATGCAGACGAAGGTAGATATCTGACGGTTTTTGGTTGAGTTCATGAATGACAGAAACGCTTGTTTGTGAAGCAGACTGCACCCACGGCAGTGAGGTCCTTGTTTGAAATGATAGGTTGTAATGCTAGGCAGGTCCAGGCGACTGCATTATGAGTTGACTTGAGGGAGAGAGGCCTTGGCATCTTTACTGATCTCTCGACACTCCCTAGACAGTCAAAGATATCGGTTCCGGTTGCAAAAGCGATTGGTAGGCCGCATCTGTAGATGAAATGAAACTCGCTCACCAGGCGGACATCGCCGTCGAACGTACGCCATCTCGACGAGTCAGACGCAAAAATGAATGAAATTCCTAAGATCAGGCGTGAAAGGAAGGGCCAGAAAGACAGGATCAAACGGCAAAATCGAGGACGTTCTGATACCAGACTAATGAGATGAGGAAAGTTAGAAGCCCAGGTTAGGTTGAGACCGTAAGAGGGAATGGACCGTGCAATCATTCCTCTTAATAGTAGTTCTTGCCAAGGATCGTGACCCGCGGGAAAATTAGCGTGTGCGATGTCAAGGTTGCGTGGCGAGGATCATCAGCCCAACTGTTCGGTGCCGCCGTGCTACATCAACCCGGAAGGCTCGCTTGTTCGTGACGATTCTGGTTGGTATGCATTGAGGATATCATCGTGGTTCAGGGCAAAAGAATGAAACGCATTCGTGACGATCATGGGTACCGATTGGCTGAGAAGATCAGCCCAAAACACATCCGGGTAAACCTTCTTTCTTCCCCTCTCTAAAAGCTTGTATTCTTTCAGTGATACTGTGACATCGGACGAAAGAGGTATGCGGGGGGTCCGCTGCGGTGGACACCAATGGGCTCATCGTGCGAAAGCGAAACGGCCCCTGAAAAGTATCGCGGCTGTGACTGACCGAACTTTCTCCAGTTGTTGTTTAGCAGGGTCTCCATTGAGGAAGTGTGTATGGTCAGCATGTTTGAGATGACGACGCGATGAGGCCACTGGTTGTAGATGAGTCCGAATTGGCTCGTTGAAACCAACTATATAAGAGTGTCATGAAATTCTCCTCCAGTTTTTCGTTCGTCTCAATATCATCGCGCTTCAGGTTAATCGCACTAATCAACTGTTACACATTCACTAGCTTCACTCTTTACTTTGTCTATCACTTATAACAACAAATCCTCACTCAAAATGCAGCTCACCAAGACACTTGTCACCCTTCTCATGGGCATGACCGTGGCGTCTGCCCTTGCTCTGCCTCCGCAGGCGCAGGCAGACGGTCTGGCTCCCCGCGCAGAAGCTGCGACAGCTGCCGACAAGAATAAGAAGAATGGGAACAAGAATACCAACGCCAACAAAGGGAAGACTACAGCAAAGGCTGCTGGTGGTGATAAGTGTGCGAACGCCAAGAAATTGGCTGCTGGCATCGACAAGAACATTCAGATCCAAAAGAAGGAGCAATCAAACGTTGCTGCTGTCAAGAAGATTGTGAATTCCAACAACATCAACCAGGGCCAGTTCGACCAGGCGAAGAAGACGCTCCTCGCTACTGTTAATGATGGAATCAAAGTCCGCGAGGCGAACCAGAAGCTCGCCCAGGGTAACGGTGCTTCTAGTGGTCTGAACACTGTACGCTATTCCTCTGCTAATATCGAGACACACAAGTTTCTAACATCCTCACAGGTTGCTAAGGCTCAGTCTACTGAGCTAAAGCAAGCCCAGAGCTTGAAGGGAACCAAGGCCGATCTACAGGTCATTGCTCAACTGGAGAAGGAATTCGCCGGTGGCATCGAACAGAACACAAAGAACAAGGCGGCTGTAAGTACCATAATCTTCCCACACTTTTCCCCTGAAAACTAATGACATAAACAGGCCCTGAAGGGATGCTGAGCGCTCAAAACGAGGATGAACCCCTGAGAATGGTTTGACGACAAAACTCTTCAATGTTCTGGAACAGATTGGAGTGTGTATGTGAATTCCTAGTATATATAAAGAACCAAACCGATTCTGTACATTAACGTATATGTCCCTTGGACTAGAATGCCCCGTGACGTGATTTAATGTTTTGTTGCCCCTGGGAAGATCTTAGGCCGTAGGATGTCGTGCGTGCGTATAAGCTGCATCTAGGACGTCACACCTCCTAGTACTGAACAAGACATATATATGTATATATATATATTAGAGTGCCAGCTCCGAGTATCAAATCCCTTACAGAAGCAGACTTCTTTTAGGGCTAGATAATGCGACGCCTCTTTTTAATTTAACCGAAATTTCTCACTGTTGGTACTGTCATAAAATAGTCAAAAATACTGGCTGTGCTAGAGAAACTGATAAGTGTCTCAATCATAAGAGCATATTGAACCTCGTTGAATGTATTTCAGCTAATACTGGGGTGTATGAGTTTTTCCCGTGTCGTATTAACGTAAATGGATATAGTGAATGACGGGGAGCCGACGTATTGTAGGGATTCGGCAGTTGATGGTAGTGTAGGTTTCACAGGGGGTGAAACGGAATTCCGTTCGTCAATAACAAATAACAGTAAATTGGTTCTAATCGATGGTTCATGATAGTTGAAAGTGGTGTTGTTGACTAGAAGGTGGGGATATTCCCCCTTGGCCTGTCACGTGGGTCTGGGAGGCTTAGGCCTCTCAGCCTGGCGGGCGTGTGGCTGGAAGTGCCACACGACTCCGTATTCCAACTATCGCAACACTGGAAACTCTCTTTTTATAGTGTTGAAGCGGTTGGAATACGTTGTCCCTATATAGTTCCGTCTCCTCGTTAATTCGGCCTCCTATCCCTACTTTCTCCTGTAGTTACGGTCTTGTTACCTATCCCTCTATACGTATCGTTATCGTATTGCTATCAACGAATCTCTCGAAGGCTTGATTTGGTTTGCTCTTTGTGAGAGTATTAGCAGGGTTGTTTTTGCTGTTAATCTAACGAATTTCTTATAGTTCTCGTCTTTCGTACGATTATCTTAACGCTATGATATCGATTATAAGTCGCTTTTCTTTAGTAATGCCTAGCTTTACGAGATACTCGTATAGCGAATAAGAATCGGTATAGATAACTATCTAAATCGTTAGTAGGTTAAGGTAGTTAGTAATTATCGCTAGGGTTATAGCGAGGGCGTAAGCTATATCGACGCTAGCGACTATCCTATAGATCTCTAACGCTAATACGCTATAGGTAACTTGTTTACTCTTCGTAAAGCTATAATAAACAAGGTTATTATAAATCGTAAATTCTCCGTTATTACTATTAGAGGAAGTATCGTTAGCTAGGATAATTAGAAACCCTAATTAGGAGGAGAGGTCGTAGTTATTAGCAAACGACTTGTTAACGAAAACGAATAGCTTAGCTATTATAAGGTCGAGTAGGATAAACGTTATTCCTCGGTTAGGCGATTCTATTTGCTATCGAATCCGTTAATTTAGTACTTTTATCGCTTCTAGCAAGGGGTCTTAGTATTAGGTAGTAGTAGATAAATCGAAACAGGCCTTAGGTTAGCAAATTAACGCGATATACGCCCCTCTAGCGCGTTGTTCGATATATTGCTATTTTAGGTTAGGTTTAGTAGTCTTAATATATCGTAACTTCTTAGCTTATCCCTTTTGCCTTAAATTAATCGAATTATTAGTTAATAGCGCGACTATCCCTCTATTAAATTAGAAAGGTTTATTAATTATAAGGATATTCTTCGCTTTTGCTATAAAAGCCGCTTTTTCTAACTATTCGTCTTCTAATTATAAGAACGCCTTGTCTAACAAACCGAGGGTATCGTCGGTTTGCATACCGATATAGCCAAAGTATAGATTTTCGGTAGATAAGATTAATAGGCATAGATCGTACGAAGAAGTAACTATCTAGAGATTCTCTTTATAATACTTATAATACGTTGCCTACTAGTAGGTTCTAGCTTCTGCGATTCCGTATAAAGGCTTTACAACCTTTATAATAGTCCCTTTTAGGTACTAGTCTTGAATTTGCTTCGGTAGGTAGGCGAGAATAGTACGATTAAGCCTTATAGAGGATTAAACGTAGGCTTATATAATATCTCGAAGCTATAGTTATTTCCCTTCTCGTAGGAATAACAGGGTAATTAATAGAATTAGCTATTAACTTGCCTACTAAATCGTTAGCGATTAGGTTAATATAGCCTTCTTACTATCGTCGGCATAACCTTATATTATAAGTCTCGATTTCTCGTAAGGTTTGGTTGTTTTACCCTTAACTTCGTTAACGATACGAGATCGGAAGATTCGTACGTTCTAATACCTTCTCTTATTAAACTAAGTAAATTTAAATACTCTTCTAGCGATAAGGCTATTAATCTCTTATTTAGTTAACTATTTAAACGGTTCGCTTAGTATAGTAATAATACCTTCTCGTCGTAGTTTAATTACTAATTCTTCGTCTACTTACTTCTTAATCGATAGGAATATTTATTAATAATCTAGGTTATTATTAAATTCCTTTATAAAGTAAGCGATTAGTAATAGTCTCTTCTAGGGTCTGCCTAGGCGTCTTCTCGGTAGCTCCGGTACCTTTTGTAGTTCGTCCGGTTTACTACCTCCGCTAGCGATAATAATTTCGTCGCGTACTACTTCCTACTACGGTATCTTAGCTTTAGGTTCTTCTTCTTCTAGCGCGGCGATAGAATTAGGTAGTTAATCAGGATCTTCGTAGTATAGTTTAACTATAGTAAACTAGAAGGTCTTTAGACTACGTAGCATATTGATAGTATAGGTTTCGCTGTTTATAGCTATTAAAGTAAATAGTCTAGTCTAGCCCTTCTTTTCGCGCTATACTTATACTTATAACCGTAGTAGTAAATTAATAATTAGCCTTATATCAAGGCTATTACGGGTAGCGATAGCTTCTGCTACCTATCGCCTTGCGTAAAGTTTGTATACTTTGCTTATCGCCTTCTTAATCGCTTTCGCCTGCCTTATAACTTCGGGAGATAGTAGCAAATCGTTAGTAATTCGTAAATATAAGCCGAATACTAAGAGTATTAATACTATTCCGTTTAAGCTAGCAGTATCGTTAACTACTTTAACTACTATTTAAAATACTAATTCTAGCGTAATTATTAAGTCTTCTACTTTAATAATTTCGTACGCCTTCCTTAAAAGTATATAGTATTGTTTAACTTTTTTAATACTATTATAGGCTTTTATAGGAATTTCCTTGATTTTAATTACTATTCTTCTCGCTACGTTTCGGAATTCTATTAAGCAGAAGTTTATTCTAGCGTCGGTAACTAGCTAGTCTAGGGGTCCCTAATATACATCTATCTAGCAGAGGCGTAAGGCTTCCTAAGTAGCTTTCGCAGAAATATCCTTAAGGAACTAGGCGGCGTTAAACGCCGTAGCGGTATCGACGACGTAAAAGACCGGTTTATTACCCTTAAGGTATATTACGTCGGTAATAACCTCGTAGTTAAATTCGTAATCGTCTCGTAACGTAAATTTAAACCGTAATAGCGCTAGTATATATATTTAGCATCGATAGCAGACTTTCGATAGTTGCTTAATTACTATAATTTCAACTAGGTAGCCAGCCTTCTAAAGCACCTTGTATAATTGTTAAATAGATAGGTATCCGAAGCGACGGTAAACCCGTCGCAATTTAGCGTCTATAAGGTAGTTCTAAGCAAGTAGTTTCTCCTTATTAAGTAATAACTATAGGTAGCCTTATTTGCGAATAATAGGTACGACCTTATTTCCTTAGATAAGGGTATTCGTAACGTTATTAAAGTAGACCTTTAATCGGTCTATATCTCCTAGGCATATAAGGAAGGGAGTATTAGTCTTAATAACGTAAAATTTAACGCTTCTAAACAGCGTTAGCACTTTGGTAGTCCCTATAGACTCTAGTAGTATCCTATTGCCGAATTTCACTATAACGCCGCCAGCCGCCTTAGTATTTAATATAATTCCTTCGTAAATTTATTATAAGGCTACGAATTATAAGTAGCTAGCGGTTAAGAATCCTGCTATGCCCGAGTTAGGCATGATCCCTTAGAAGTTCTAAGCAAAGTAGCATCCTTCGAATATAAATTACGAAGGTAGCTTTTTCGGTTCTAGTTAGTTACGGAAGAGGTCTTCTTTCGTAATAGCATAGCAGGTTAACTAGTCTGCTAGGATCGTAGCGATCCTATTACCGTTAATTGCTATTATAGTAAAATAGGCGGTAACCTAGAATTAACTATCGCTACTAGTCTCTTCCTCTTCGTTACTTTTACTAGTTTGTTCGGTTACGTAGTAGTATTGCTAAGGGTCTTCGGCGGTAGGTTATAGGTCTAACCTATCGAAACCCTCGTATTAGACGAGAAATTAGCTATATGCTAGAAGTAACGTATCCTAGGCATATTAGGTAGTTTTGAACTTCTCGTATGCTTTTCGTCTTTCTTCTATAGTATATTTAGTTAACTAGTAGTTAGGTTTTCTATATACGTAGTACTTCTTAAGCGTTAGCGGTAATAAGGGTCTGTTACGGCTTCTTCCTCGTAATAATCGACTTCGTAATAAACGGCTATATCGTAAATAACGCCCTCGACCGTTAAAAGTTCTATCAGTCTAGTACTGCTTTAGTAGGTTAGCTACTATGTTAAATTGTTATTAGTTAAGACGGGTAGCTGTCTCGATCGACGAGATTAATTAGCTACAAAGTCCCTCGTACGTCTTAGCCGGTATAAATAACGCTATTATATACTCTAGAATATCTCTATAAGCGTATAGAAGTTAGGTATAGAGGGATCGGTCGTTATAATCTTGTTATAGCAAACCAGGCTAAATCTTGCTTAATTTATTATATAGTATGTTAAAATACTCCGATTTAGTCTTTCTAAGGTTATCGCGAATGATTTAGGGAAGAGTAGTTAT